TGCAAAAATAATCCATTCATCATTACATTTTGATAATTAACAGTTTTTTCCTTTCTGATGTATTGTTTACATTTCCTTTAGTTAATCGTCTGCATCTCTCCACTTGTGTGTTAGTGGTATTTAATGTTAGCATAATGAAATGCTTTCCAGTCTAGAAAAATACAGGACTCATTTGCCTAAGTGCTACAGTACATCTCTGCTTTTTCTGTTGTTGTTTCTGGTCTAGTGAGACTGTAAGGCTGCTCTTAGTGTAAAACACCGCATCTGTGTTTCCTCAGTACTTGACTGGTTGATCGGTCTCAGTATGATTGTAGGTTTAAAGTCTTGGGACTATAGAGGAACTCCTAATGTTTGATTCTGTGGCACCGACTAAAAACCTGACATTTACTGCTAATGCTTCAGAGAGTTGAATTTTTTTCAGTCAGTCTTTATTGTAGAAATGTGGAAATGCTAGAAATGTGTTATTTTTGGCTATTTATCTTTAGTATAAGAAACTACACTGGAAAACAACAAGGATCAGAAATGTTAGATACATCACAGCAGCCTTTTCTGACCATTTTCAGGTGGGTATGTCTTTTAACTCTCACTAAGAAAAAGCTGGTGATATTACATTGTTTATCCTACTGTCGACAAATCCTACGAAATGAGCAAAACCAGCAAGGAATCAATCCTACTAACAAGTGTTGTCTGTGTAGACAAAGCCTGATATTGATCATCGTTCTACTGTTTATTCAGTTAATGTGCAAAAACTACTAAACACAGCAAAAGCCTACACTCTTGGAATGGTTAAAGTGTTCTTTCACTGCCATGAACACACACACACTGTATATTATTTTGACTCAGTCCCACACACACACACCCTCCAGCTGCTGTAAATACTCAAACCATACCAAACCTGTGTTAATCCGCAGCTGAAAATAGTCCCCAAAAATCTACACGATGGTTTGAGTAACACTTCCTAAAACCTACAGTGGCCAGATGTTTTAGAAACCTACATTCAGAGTAAAACTTTATATTGTGAATATGTATGAATATGTGTTTATTAGTGTTTTTAAAGATTTATGTGTTCATTTGGAAATAATGGGTTAAAGGGCAGAGTTGAAAGTATGGATACGGACTAAAGTATGTTTGTTTTTGGTCTATTCATTGAATTTGATGACAAGAAAAACTGTTGAATGCTCTCAGCATTAGACTTGGCTGCATGTCTTCAGTGCTGTGAGTTTTGCTATTTTTTCTTTCTTTGCGAGGACATCTGGTCCTTGTTAGTGTGGAAATACAAACATACACACAGGGCAGAGGGACGGCGAGCAGTGGCTGCCTAACAACTGATATTGTCATGCAAGGGCTTTAACACTGGGCAACAACTGAATATCAATAAAGCTGCACAGATAGTATGCACTGGCTGTCAGTTACTGTTTGCTTCAGTTGCCAGTGAACAGCCTGAACAGTATAGAAATCACACTTCAGCATTAATGTCTCTCAATTTTATTTCTATACCAACCAAATCACAACAAAAGTCATCTCAGGACACTTTACAAAGTAAGGTCTAGACCTTACTGTTATCAATATTATTACAAAGGGAAAACCCAACAAATCCCCCTTGAGCAAGCACTTGGCGACAGTGGGGAGGAAAAACTCCCTTTAACGGAAGAAACCTCCGACAGACCCCGGCTCTTGGTGGGCGGCCTTCTGCCTCGATCGGTTGGGGTGAGTGGATAGAGGAGAGACAAAAGAGGGAGAGAGAGAGGACACACTACGGGAGAGAGGAGACACAAAGTTAATAACATGTAATGGTGGCATATAGAAGCATAGGGAGAGAGAGAGGACACACTACGGGAGAGAGGAGACGCAAAGTTAATAACGTGTAATGGTGGCATATAGAAGCATAGGGAGAGAGAGAGGACACACTACGGGAGAGAGGAGACGCAAAGTTAATAACATGTAATGGTGGCATATAAGTGCATGGAGAGGAGAGAGGCGAGGAGCTCCGCACCATGGGACGACCTCAGCCTAGGCCTATAACTAAGGGATGGTACACTAAACCAAACGTATCCTAGAATGTATGTCCAGTAATTTCATAGACACCACTACATGGTCGCAAGGAATAGTGAGAAACCAGCACCAAGAATGCAAATCACACCACTTGCATACTTGTGCATGAGCATGATACAAACAAAACAGGTGGATCCACTTGCAAAAACATAGCCCCTACTAGTTGTCAAAACTCCACAGGGTACCCGATCATAGTCAAAGTAATTGAAAGTAATATAGTATGTAATAATAATAGTAGCCTGTTTGTAAGAGAAAAGCACTTGTAATCTAAACTCAGAGTATCTGCTGTCCAGGTATTGGAAAATAGAAAGCTGTTTTACTTCACATGCAGAATCTCCTCGCTTTCTTTTTGCCAGACAAGGTGCAATTAATCTCACACATAATATACAGTACTGTCCTCTAGGGCTCACTGAAACAGTGATATTTCTTGCTAAGTCCAGACTAATTCTGCTTTCCGCAGACACCTTGTAAATCTACAGACAGCCTGTGAGCCTTCTGCAAGGCTACTGAGGGCAGCCACTATTGATGTAGCATTAGCTCCATATGCCTGTCTGTTTTGTTGTCTTGTGTATGAATCTCTCTGTCCCCCAGTATTGCTCTGAGTACCGGATACTCCAGATGGATGACTGCAATTAGATGTAATATGTTGCTGCTACCTTGACCAGTGGTTTTCTGTCATTAAACAGAGGGCGGTTACTGTTCCCCCTGTCGTCTTTGTTGGCACGTCTGTCTGTGTGACTGTGTTTTGTGTTACTGGGGTTTACAAAGTACAGTAATGTATGTGCATGTGAAGCTTCAGTAACAGCTTCATAATCTCTTCACAAGTAGATAATACTGTAGCGATGGGGCAGAGCGGCGCCCGATGGGACACCCCATAGTGCCAGGGGGGGAAACTGCTGGTGGGGTCTTCCAGAATGCCCCTCTGGGCGAGCTGTATGTAGTTCGGACTTTGCAGGACTTGTGGCGTCTCTGTGTTCTGTGTCAGTGTGGGTGACAGTGTGTATTGTGTCCTTAATATAAGCAGCTCAGGGGAATGCGCAAAAAAAACAACTTCTGTCTCTGACTTCTTCTTCCATTCAGCCTACGTGACAATGCCTTTTGTGGCTTTGATAACGAGGTAGTCATGCGAATTTTGCTCAAACCGTTCTTTGGCTGTGGAGCTGATTTGACCATTTAGCAATGCAAAACAGACCCACTTCCCTACTTGGAAGTAGTTTGACATTTTCAGAGTAACCTGGGAAAAAGAATGATTGAATGGGGCTCCCTGCCAGTGAAACAAAAGACAAGGACACAGAGTGAGAGGAAGAGAAGTGCAGGACTGTCATCTTCTATAGTTTCCCTTTCTCCAGGGAGTTAGTTAAACACACACATTCACGCTATATTATTCAGGCAGCACGGCTCGGAGTTGGAAGCAGTGGGCTACAAACAATGATTAACATTTGGGAGGAGTCGTTTTGCGCACCACCACTACACGAATTGCCAAAATGGGAGGGAAAACTCACACCCTATACTTTGTATAGGGATATTTGTATATGACACTGGGCTCTTTCCAGAGCAAACATATTTATTTAAGGATTTATATGACACTGTACAATATTTTACACCATTCTCATTCATTGTGTTAGTCATCCAGTTGCACATCAGCACCACATCATGATTTCTGAGTAAATGTTGTTGAATGACCTTAATCCTATGGCATTTCATCATTTTTGAATTATGTCTTGCATCAGTTTTGAAGGGTCAAAAAATGATTGCTACCCTGCCCTGGATACTCTGAAATGTAAACTGTGTTCCAGTCTGGCTTCAGCTCCACCTCAGATGGTGATGGCAAGAAAGGCGTTTTTGCCTTTGGCAGCACAAAATTCATATGTGATGTGAAAATTGTTGCTACACCCCCAAAAGGACAGATGATTGGATATCACAGACACACTATATGCTCCCAGCCCACCTTCTGGCATCTTCAAAAATTGTGTCCTCGTCTGACTGAAAACACATCTTTATAAACTCTTGGGTTCATCAAATATACTTTTATGTTTTACAGTAAGACTAAACAAATGGATTTTGATATGCAAATATCAATAATAAATTTTGCTATACCTGTACATATATACTAAGATATAATAGAAGCTAACACAGGGACACAGAATAAGAAGTTATACGTTGAATTTTTCACAGAACTGCTGCTAGGATTCCTGCCAAATGTTTCCACATGGTGCTATATTTACTATTTTATTTATTCAAACTTGCATTTAGTGTTATTTATTTAGTTGGTGACTTTGGGGGAGTATAAGCAATCTGTGAGCACCACTGTTTAAGCGGTGGTACATAAAATATACTGTATAACGTACAGTCGATATAAGACATAAAACATTCAGCCAACACAGAACAGCATTGTCATTCATTTGGAGTTGTGCTTGTGCCTGTCTGAATTCTAATGTAGTACTCTCCCTGTGTTGGTTGTCACCAAATCCTGAGAGAAACACCAGGCTCTTTAGCTGCTACGTGCTCCACTATGTTCACTAGCCAGCCGCTAACTCTGTCTGTCTGCGTGCTGAGTAGGTACTGCACAGTGGGTTTTAGGAGCGTTTTTTTTTCCCTGCTGAAATCAGGTCTTTGCTAATGAGAGATGCAGTGATAGAGGCGAGAGTGAACAGTAAAACTGCCAATCAATAAGCTGTAACAGTGTTCAAAAACTGTGCTGATGGCAGCTGCAGAGCTGGGTGATGCATTTTGTGAGTTGAACGACAACATTCACATACAAACAGGAGTCATTTGCATAAAGGGCAAATAAAAATCTTGAATGTTGAATCATTTGTCTCATTGTTAGTATACGAATATCAACTATTGACACTTTAAAATACAAAAATATGATCTGTGACTCTCCCCAGCCTGATATTTTGTCATTAGCTAACATCTAAACATTTTTTTTTCTTTTCCCTCTCCTCAAGGCAAGTACATGTACCAACCCATGACCAATGTGTGCCAGCTGCCCAGCACAACCGTGCCACCTGTCGACTCAGAGTACAGTAACACCATCGACCTGTCCGTCTCTCTGGCTGAGCGCTTCCTGAAGCTTGCCCCCTCCTTCCAGTCCCCACCTCACCTGGAGTCACCTAAGTACTGTGTCATCGCAGATCTGTTTGTGGACGACTACATTGTCAAACGCATCAATGGGAAGATGTGCTATGTGCAGCGCCCCCCACCTCCTTTACCAGAACCACCTCATCCTCCAACCCCTCCCCCACCTGCTCCAGCTACACCTAAAATGCCCCAAAATCAGCTTCAGCAAGCGGTCAAGCCCACGCCGCCAACTCAACACGCACTGACACCTGCACCAGTGCAGCCAATCCAGCAGGTGTACAGTGAACACAAACACCCCTCCCCTGTGGATAAGTTAAAAGGCCCTAAAATGGACCACTGCTCCTCTCCATCTAGCTCAGAGGACTCTGGCATCATGGCGTTAGGTCTGCATTACCTGGAGTCCTGTGAGGAGGAGAGCGCGGAGGAGGAGGATGAGTTGAGCACAGATGGGAACTCCAGCCCCGGCAGCCTCTGGGATCAAGACGACTGTTCTGTGCTCTCGCCCTCCAAGTCAATAATAGAGATCATCGAAAATATTGAAACAACTGTGTAACTGACATGGACAACGCAGAATCATATCACTGAGAATAACACTTTATTATACACAAAAGAAAGCCGCTCTCTAACACGTCAGCAGGACTTTGCTGGATTGCTTTAAGTGAAATTTGCTTCCCTGCTGGTGGCCGAGGATAGTATGTCTGGACTCACATACGTCCTCTCCTCTGTCCATATTCCCTGCAAAGAGTGAAATTTTAGCACTTATTTTAATAAATACAAAAAGGAAGCACAAGAATATCAAGCACATGCACAGTAGACCAAATACAACCTTTGTTTGTGGAAATTATAGGGCGAAAAATCTGAAATACAAAAGAATCTATAGTAGGTAATTTGTTTCATAGAAAAGCACAGACAAAACATGAGACATTTCTCTTTATTACTGGACCTAACAAAGGTAGTATAAGTAGGTTTCATGATGATAATAAGTAGTTTGGCAATTCTTTGTGTTCTGGCAGGCAGAATTTATTCTAATTCAACTTTCAAGAGGCACATAAGTGTGCCATTTTTTGCTCCCTGGTCAGTGGCTTCATTCACATGTTAGTAATTCTGACATGTCAGCATAAAAACACAAGGCCAGCTACCCCTCATGGGCCTAGAGCAGCCTTTTAACCCACTAATAACCAAGCTCTGAGCTGCTGGAGCAAACCTGCTTTTATCATGTTAATTACAAAATGCTGGCCCACAGTTTGTCTGCACTTTACTGACACCAACACAAGCAGAAGGTAGGTAGGTCAGTGCTCGACAATCAAGGATATTGCAGAGGCACATTCCTATTACGTACCTGCCAGTGAGGACCAAGGATACTCTTATACCTTTTCAAACCATTTATCAGATATTAGCACATTGTTCTGACCACCTTTTTCTGGTCAAGCTGAACTGACCTGCAGTGCTGTTCAAGGTTAAATGGGGTGTTAACCAAAACATGACCTGTAATGACCTCTATTAGCAGCCAAGAAATGAAATAGCATGGACATGTCTATGGCACAGCTGCAGTGACACAGCAGAGACCAGTCGTGAAGAGGGGATGTATCTAATATACACATATAAACTTATATAGTAATAAGACTGTGTTGTTGTTTACTTTTTGGGCTTGAGAGTGAAATGTTTTGTGATGCTCACTGAAAGGGGAGTCTAGTGTTCAGGCTAGGTTGGACTTTATGTCACAGCTATTTTGTGTGCTGGGGCAGAAAATGTCACTTAATGCACCTTTGAAAATAAATATTATATTATAGCATAGAATGCTGATGTATGAAGGACAAGATGATATAATAAATAATATAAAAATAGACAGCCCATTATTAGTCAGTAAAATGAAACTGGGCTATTTATTTCAGTGTTTAAAGATTTATTTCTTGGAAAGCTATCAGCAAAAATCACAAAAATGTTCATAAATATGTACAAGCACTAGATGTAAAATGAAAAAAAAAAAAGTCTTTTTGCATGACTGCGTTCATTTCCAGAAGTCCCTTGTGTCAAAGATCAATTTAACAAATTTGTGATTCAGAAAGTGGACAAATCCTGCATCTCTTTGAATTCAAGAAGAGGCTTTTTATTCAGGGATGGCCCATGATATCACGCTGAATACAGTCCCTCCTGATACAGTTTAAAACAGGTTTTATGCTCTTATTATTGTTATATTATTTTCATATGAATAAATCTGAATGAAACTCGCTTTTTTTCCTCGCTCGGTTTATTTGTTTTAGCCACAAAAAGCAAGGTAAGGGAGGCGACAGTGGTGCGGTGAGTAGAGCAGTCGTTTCCCAACCGGAAGGTTGAGGGTTTGAATCTCGGTGCCTGCAGTCCATGTGTCAAAGTCTCCTTGGGCAAGACACTGAACCCCCCTGAAATATCTTGAGGAAAGTTCTTTGTTTCTTATATTCTTCTTACTCTTTACTCACTTGCACTGCACTGATAGAGAAAAAATATTTTTAACAGAAAAACAAAACAAGAGTGGGCACGTTAAGACTGCAGATCATAAAAAAAAAGACCTGTGCCTCAAATTTAGTGTTGCATACAATTATAGTGTAAAAAAATATAAAACCAGTTAGAGTCAGTCTACCTCCAACCATCCTATTTTCTCTGGTCGATCCACACCAACAACAGCCATGTCCTCTGTCCCAGGCGGTCTTTTCCACTTGCAGCCTATTTTGTAAGACACCATGCCTGAGTGCCTTTCTCACCCTGACTTCAAGCTCAAACTGACTTCTTCACGCTTCTCATTTCATCTGCATTGTATCTATCGATTTCTTGTAACCTACTCCGCTAGTGCGAAAAGAAAACCAAGGGATGAAATACTAATTGCATCATATAAATGTACATTCACTATTCTGCTCAGTGATGAAGAGGAGAAGTGTGCAGATGACTGCTGGAGAGTTTGAAAGTCAACACAGAGTGTGAAAAGAGAAAAGAAGAGAAGAGAAGAAGAGGAAATGAGGGGGAGCACAGCAACAGGCAGAGGAAAGAAAGCTCAATTAAAAGGATGATGATGCAAGTACATGTAAAGTTTTAGGACAGACAACTTGTGTGTGTGTGTGTGTGTGTGTGTGTGTATTTCAGTGTGTGTAGGCCCATGCTTGTGTAGTTTAACATTTTGTAATAATTTTTTCAAAGCTACAAACAGATTTAATGACAAGCCAGATCACTGTTATTGTTAATCCTTCATAGCGAAGTCACTCAATTGGCAGGCACCTTGAACAGTAGAAAGCTCTCTCATACACACACACACACACACACACACACACACACACACACACAAAGAAAGATACACACCAAATCAAAAAACGCCCTTGTTCAAGGACTGCTTCACAAGCAGGGCTGGCACAGTGCAAGTCACACAAGCTGTAAAGAGATGTTGTCAGTGTTACTTTTTCCTTTTGGTGTACTTACCAACATGTTACCCTCCTAAAGAGGGTTTTCTTTGAATTTCATACAAATGCATTTTCTCTCCAGGGGCCAGTCATTAGACTATCAGAGCCCAAATGCTCAGAAGAGATCTTAAGTGACTAAATGAAGGCATGGTGTACCGAAGTGCCTCACCTGAGTAAGGGGGAGTAGTTAGGAATGCACTTGTTACAAATGCTCACCCTTTGTGATTTCACTTGGAGCCATTGCACAAATGGAATGAGGGTCATTCATAGAATTGTCTCCCAGATATGTCCCCACCGGCCACATCAACCTGCCCAGTGTCCGGTTGCTTGTTGTGTCTTGTTGCTTTTCTTCTTTTGTCTCTCCTCTATCCACTCACCCCAACCGGTCGAGGCAGAAGGCTGCCCACCAAGAACCGGGGTCTGTTGGAGGTTTCTTCCATTAAAGGGAGCTCTTCCTCCCCGCTGTCGCCAAGTGCTTGCTCAAGTGAGATTTGTGGGGTTTTTCCTCTATTATAATAGTGATAATAATAGTAAGGCCTAAACCTTACTTTGTAAAGCGTCCTGAGATGACTTTTGTTGTGATTTGGTGCTATAGAAATAAAACTGAGACGAATTGAATTGAACCACTTAAATCTTGAGCTTTTAGAAACCATATCATTAAACAATAAAGGATAAGGTCAATCATTTTCTATATTAACAGTATTTTCAACACTCCCCATACAGAGACTAAAACGACAATGAGTTGCCTCGACTCATTGTTAATGTCTGTCAGTGTCAGTCCTATATCAGCTTATTTGAAACAATGAAATTTATGTACTCACTATACTGTCTATAAGTCCAGAACCTCATTCATTTATGTCACAGACCTCAACTGTTGCCTGAAAACTATTGGAAACAAACCAGTGACCCACACTGGATGCACTGGGTGACATTTCTTTCTCACAGAATATGTGGGGGTATGTCTATTTGCAAAGAGCTCTAAAGGCTAAATACAACAAATACTTTGTACAGTCTCTGGAGAAAGGGTCAGCTGTGCATGCACATGATCTCCACACTGCCTGCACTGCTCTGCTAGTGCATTTTTTTATTTAAAGCAACTTACAGTATAGCTTTTAAACTGCATCACAGACTTCATAGAAATCAATATTAGCTCCCTACAGGGAACCAGCACCATATTGGAGGCATCCAGTTTCTTCATACATCCTCTCTGTAATCTCTTACATTCAGAGCAGCACTGCATTTCAAAAGAGCCAATTTACAGTATAATGTCACTGTGATTGGCCCGATGCAAGTGGCATGCAGGTAACAGGGGAACCCACCAGCAGACTGATGACAAACAGTAAGACACATGGCTTTCCCTTGGCACGGCCTCGATGGGTGATGGGTCTCTGATAAGCTCTATAAATGCAAGAGCCACCTAGAGTGCAGCTCTGTACTCCCTGCCCATAAAAGATTCATTACTTTCTCTCGTCACTTTCTGCCCTCGTCTTTGAAATGGATTTAGAGCACTTCTTCCTTTTAGACACAGAGCATGACTTTGTCCCTGGAAACTCCAGACAACAGCTTCAAGCTTTAGTGTTGATAGAAATGGCTGTGCATGAAAGTAGGCTATTTCCTTTTTTGTTGCTTAGAGCTACTTGGTGATTCATCCTTTCACTACCTCTTTTTTGCATTGGCAGTATGACTCACGGCGGTACTTCTTGGTTAGTTGATTAGCTGGCGTTGCTATGGATTAGTCTATTTGCTGATGATTGTTTATTTGGGGAAAACACTGAATGAGTAATCACATATGTACATAAAATTTACAGCACCTTGTTTTTAAAATATCAGACTTTCCATTTCTCACTCATGAAACATTGCCTCACTGATGAAAAAGATTTTTCATCATTACCACAAATTAAACAATTTAACATTTATATAAAGTAATATTTCTAAGCTGAAACAAATCTTTTGTCTTTTTACTCCTCTGTAGTTTTTAGGGATTTCACAGACGTAGAATTACAGATGGATTATACCTCAACATTAAGAGGCTGTAACATTATAAAGTTTCACAGTCTGCAGTCACATGATTGATGTTGCTCCAGTCCTCACTTTGGACAGATGTGGATCTCATCTGTGAGAGTATTTCATAATGCTGCCATTCAAATATTACATTGTTCTCCTCTGTTTAATATT